CCATCCCGCCGCCCCCCAAAACCAATCTGATCTTGCTCTCGCGCATACGGGGCAGCTGTCGCCGCGCAGAACTTCCTGCTGGCTCCGTTATCGGCTATCCTGCTGCAGACGCAAGACCTGGAGAAGTCTCCGGGTCATCGCCCAGAGTGTCGGCCTCAACAGCCCCAACAACCTCTGCCCCCACCCCCACCTCCGCAGGCGCCGGGAGCTGTTCAGCTCTTCCGGCCTTTTTTTATCAACAGACCCGCCAGATCCAGACGCAGTCGCCAGCTGATGGAGAAGAGAACTGCTCCTGACCGGCAATTGTATCTCCCCGACCGCTTGATCCGGACTGGAATACTGCCCCAGAGGGAACCAAACACACCCATGGCTCCTTCGACAAATACTCAGCTGTTTCCGTCCGCAGAACACGGAGAAACCGTGCCAGGAACCCCCCGATGATACAGTGCTGGCAGCCGCGCCTGCCTGGGTTTGCACCAGAAGGTCTAAAGACCCGCGCGTGCGGACCCCTTGCGCAAGCCCACTCCCAACTCCGGCCTGACGCTCCCAACAGTCCGCCGGTGCCCGACCGCGCGCCCTGCACTCTGGAAGTCGGAAAACTGGAATGTGTTTGCTGTATCCAATCATGTACACGGAACTGAAATAAACAATGAGAACAACCCAGTTGCCTGGTGCTTGTGTATGTGAGTGAGCCGCGTGCGCCTCTGGTGTTTTGCAGGGCCGTGAGTGGACGCCGGCCTGCAGGGGGCGGTGTGTCGCAGCTGACGGACCAGGCAGGGGACGTCGTCGCCCCCCCCCCTCCCCCCAGATCAGTCAGGTGACGATGCACATCTCTTCAGGGGGCCAACAGGGTGGGTGGAGGCCCTCTGAGGAGGTACTTTTCTCACAGACATTCGCTCACAGACATTCTGGGTCATCGGATTAGATGCTCCACATTGATACCTCTGACACTCGGGCTCCTTTCCCCTGTTCTCTGAACGGAGTTGAAGCTCTTATCTATTCATTCCACAGAATGATTTAAATCTGAATCCAAATGCTGCTTCTTGGAAACTTGGGCAAAAAAAGAACACATAGGTGGGAATTATGGGGAAATGCACTTAAAAACAATACCAGGAGGCACTTCTTTCCTTACGCAAAGGATCGTGGGAGTCTGGAACAAGCTGTCCTGTCCTGCTGTTGAGACCAGTACTCTGGTTTGTTTCAGGAAATGACTGAATGAGGTCCTGGGATCATTTACTGTAACTACTAACTACCAGGTGGCCTAACAGGGCCGGTTGGCTACTTTCATTTGTAGCTGTTCTTGTGTTCTTCTGCTCACAGCAGAGCAGAAGGGATTCAAAAGAACTGATTGGGTGTGTTAGTGGAGAGGCATCACCAGGGGAACTTTGACAGGCAAGAATGTCAGTCAGTTCTGTTGCAAATTGGGGGGGCATTAACAACTATTATGGTCCAGTGCTTTTCAATAGGCTTGATTAAATGAATATTTAATTTGCACAAACGTTAACAGCTAGGGAGGCCCAGTGGCCCAGTGCCACTGCCTCTGCCCACTGCCTCACGGCGCTGGGGCCCTGGGTTCAATTCCAGACCCGGGGGGCTGTCTGTGTGGAGTTCGCATGTTTCCCCAGTGCTCATGCTGTGCTTTCCTCCCACAATCCATGCTGGTAGTTTCAGTTGCTTCTGGGAAAACCGGCCCGGGTGTGAGTGCGTGTCTGTGCCTGTGTGCCCTGCGATGGTCTGATGTCCCCTCCAGATTGTACTCTGCCTTGTGCCTGTCTCTGGCTGGGATAGGCTCCAGCTTCCCGGCTGAACTGGAAGAAGAGGTCAGAAAATGGATGGATGTTAACAGCTAGTATTTCTACATCAGAGGTGATAAATACTAGGAACTGACCCTGTGTTCTAGTTTCTTACGTAACTGAGCTCAGTAACTTGTCCATGTGGCTGCGGAACAATACACAATAAGGCGTCTGGGGGAAGTCACTCTGTGCCCGAGGCCGATTCCCCACATCTCGCCCCCCCACTGCGTGCGCTCTGCCTGCAGTACCCGCCGGCCGCCGGCAGGGGGCAGCGCTCCACCGCCGAAGCCGAGTGCGGGATCGCGGAAGAGAAGACCCCGCGGCGGCCCTGGCAGTGTCGACAGAGGTTGCAGCTCAGCGGGTTGACACTCAGACTACACGCAACAATAATGTTCGAGTCTGCTTGCGGGTCCAGGGTGCTATTCAGAGCGAATTAAAATTGCGTTCTGTGTTGGGGGAGACAGGCATAGATACGCGTGCACGTTTCTTGTTACATTGTTTTGGTTGGTGCTTTTCATGTAGGCTAAGGATCGCAGGTAACTCGGAAATACTCATTACAGCGGCCTGAATAATTGAAGAATGCAGCAGAAACCTGGGGCGAAGCGCGGGGTGCAGGGAACATTTTCTTCTGCGTGCTTCAGTGCGGAGCACAGTACGAACGTGGCAAAATAAAATAAAAACAACACCGTATAATAAACTTCACCACGATAAACTGCCATTATAACACAACAGGTTGTAGCTACAGCGTTTGCGACCAAGACAGGTTGCAGCCAGACGGCACTTCAAAAGAGCGGGACTGCTCGGCGGACACGCTTAAGATCGTCTACCTAACACAGAGGCACAAGGTCAACAGTATGTTAACAGCTTTGAAATGCACATTTTAAAGCCCTCCCCTCCAAAAACAAAACAAAACAAAAAAAGCTCCGAGCCGCTCAACAAAAGGTATTATCACAGCTCCCATCTGCAGACCCGCGGCGAGCGCGCCGGCCGAGCGCGCAGATTGACAGCTTTTAGAATAGCACTCGCCGGCGGTTGACGTCAGAGGTGGATCTGGTCGTCTTGGAGACGAATTGGCACCGGAGTGTGGAACGGCTTCAAAGGCCCGCCCCCTGTACAAATACCCCCAGCGGCTCTGACGTCAATGGACGTCAACCAGGGAACACGATGCCTTCTGCTCGAAGTCAGCCCGTGCAGTCTGCCCAACAGGGCTGAAACATTATAGCCCTTTTGTATTGGAAAGGGCGGCGTGACAGATTCCTGTCCCACCGGTAAATGTCCTGTCTCCCTTCGGCTGGACTGAGGACGCTGTCAACCTTCAAGCTGGCTCGGGAAGCGGGGATTTTACTGCGCCTCTTTTTAATAGACAGTTCCTAGCGCCCGGCTGGGGTTTTTTTTTTCCTGCTTCTTCGTCTTCTTCCTTGTGGCTCAAGCCGTGCGGTACCCCGCTTTTCTCTCTCCCCCTCTCCCTCCCCCCCCGACCCTCGACCCTCGACCCTCTTCACCCCTTCGGAACAGCATGGTCATGGCGGATACTCACCAGAAACCGACGCACCGCGGTCCGGTCCGGGTGGGCTTCTACGATATCGAGCGCACTTTAGGCAAAGGGAATTTCGCGGTGGTGAAGCTGGCGAGACACCGCATCACCAAGACCGAGGCAAGTACTGTGCAATGGACCGCGGCTCGGCTCGGGTCCGCTCGGGTTCGGCTGTCACGGCCCGGGCGCGGGGTCTGACCCAGGCGCGCGGGCGGCGCTCGGCTGCAGCGTCGTGAACTGAGCCGGAGCCGGAGCCGGAGCTGTGCGGGGCGAACTCTCGGACCGGGTCAGCTCGTACACTGGCGTGCTCAGAAACCCATTCACACCCCGAGCCCGCCGCCAAGCCGGGGAATACGGGCTGCAGTTTTTAAAGTGGAGCTGGGGGGAGGACTGCCGGAGCCGGGGCGCCCCGAAGCTGTGGAAGTGTCCCGGAGTTAGTTCAGGGCAGGGTGAGGCCAGCTGCCCTGCGGCTGCAAGCCCCCGGTCCGGGCTCTAGAGTCGGCGGCACAGCCGTGCAGAAGTTGCACGGCTGGTGAACATTTGCACACAACACCCCTTGACTGTCACGACACAGCGCCGTGAAAATAATGAGACATTGATGATGATAATAACACACACCGTGAAGTTTAATTTCAGACTAGGAGACTCAGCACTGGGAGCAGGTCACTCTCGGATATTCGTAACTGGGTTTTGCACGACAACTCGCAAAGATGAAAAAAAAAGGGCTGCGCTCGGTCCGCCGGCTTATGCAATGTGACAGGGCGATGTAAACAGCCGCGGTTTTGGGGGCATGGTCACTCTGAGCACGGAGTTACATAATGCTCATGAATGATATCAGGGGGAGAAAGCACATTTTCTGTCCCCCCAACGCCTGTGCTGGCGGCGGCGGGAGTCCGACAGGGGCAGCCCGGCTCCTGTCGGGGTGTCGCGGGAAGTAGCGGTGCCAGGGGCGGCTGCACACAAGCGCTCCGGCCGCAGGTGTCCTCTTATAAAGCGGCACTGGCGGCAGAAAGCGCGTTTTCCGTCTCCCTGGAAGTTTGTGTTTGTGTTCCGGAGAAGCCGAACAGACCTCTAAGAGCGCGCAGACGGCCGACAGTCGCACTGAAAGACGTGTATCGTGATTTCTCACGCTCCTCGTCTTGTTATAATGATCGTTGTTGTTCTGTTTTTGCTGCTCCGGGTTGCCTGCCCGGCCCCCCGCACAGTTTGTCGTCACCTGTGAAACAACTGGTCGTGTTTGAAGTTTCCCGTGAAAGAAGATAAAAATACAGTAAATACACTGAAACCCGATTGTATCACTGCAGTGGTAATAACAAACCCGCCCTAATAAGAACTCCGTCGTGACACCAGGAATAATAAAGAACTGTATTTATATAGCGCCTTTACAGGTGGCTTCTCAAAGCGCCTTTGCAGAACGACGACGACACAATACACAAGATATGCACAATGAGAATACACAGTGAGAGGAGACAGTAGTGGGGATACTGAATACAGCAGGAGCAGAAGCAGTCCTGTTCAGTCCAGTCCTGTTTAATTCATAAAAACGAATTAGCGTGATATTTAATTGCTTCTTAGTGTTTTTTTTTTTACAGTTCGGATAACTATAATAGACTATCAACCTTTTTTGTTCAGAACATGCAGCTCGTGTAAACTATTAGCAATTAATGGCTGAATTTGAAGGAATATTATATGTTGTACGTCAAATGTCAAGACTACTCTTGTTACACGTGTCAGCGGGCAACTGCAAATCTGATTATTAATTGCTGTCTTCTTTAGGCTAATGAATTTCCGTGCCCTGTGCTGCTGGCTGCACTAACAACCCCCAGGCGAAGCTCTTTCTTGGCGGCGTGGCTCATTAGCGTTCCCCAGGGCCGGGGTTAAAGGTCCCCGGATAGCAATGTACTGTAGGACCGGAGTAAGCTTTTAATTAAGAGACATCGCTTTCTGTATGTTTCGGGGTGGGTTTTTTTGTGTGTGGAGTTTTCCAGAGCAAGCGGCGATCGCCTTTTTTGTACGCGTTCTTACACTTTCACCAAAAGACGGTCCCCAACCCCCCGGAGTGGCGAAGGCAAATATGACCGTGTTGGGTGCGTGAATTTGCCCAGAGACGGACGACTTTCCTGCTCGGTGCCGAGCTGTGATTGTTAAGTGTCTGTCCTGTGGAGCCGGAGGTTGTTGACTTTTTCAGGTTTGCGGGATTAAGATTATGCTCAGTCGCCCGTGTCAGGATGCTCCTCCGGGCTCCCTGGAGCACAAACTTGGTTTAACGTCTGAGATAAAAGGTAGAGATGTGGGTGTGATTTGTTTTTGTTCCAGGCAAAAAACCGGTGAGATATGTTTTTGACGCGACACCTGGCGCGATTGAAGTGTTTCATCCCACAAGTGTCCACAGCCTGTAGCGCCTCCGCTGCGTCACAACCGCGACGTTACAACGGCCGAGAAGCCGCCGGCGTTGAAATGGCGGGGTTTGTTCTTGATAACCCAATAAATAACCTCCAGTGGAGAGCTTAATGCGCAGCTATAGACACTGTAAGGATGCAAAGGCTATTCGAGGAATGAGATAAAATTATTTTATTGCGTTAAACCTTAATTTGTGAAGCACGCGAACGAAGAGAAATAAAGGTTTTCCAAGGAATTCGTTCGGTAATTATCGTTATTATTATGTAGTTGTTTTAAAGAATTGTTTGAAAAGAGGTTGTTTGTGACGATGGTATTTTCTGAAATTGGCAGATATTTATGGAGAGAACAGCTGCCCCCACCGTGACTGTCCTGCTTTGCGGCCCTGAAGTATCTTGATTACAGAAGTGATTGTCTCTACCCAGTCCCTCCCCAGAGCAGTACGGTCGGTCAGCGGTCCCTGGTCCCTGTGGATCTGTGTGGAGAGGAGAGGTTAGGGAGTGAGGCCTTTTGAGGTAGCTGAGCGAGAGGAGAGAAGGGGTTCTGTACTTTGGGGTAGATGGGTAACCACACTTTGTTGTTGTCTGTGCTGTACTGTAGACACACAGACAGAGCTCCTGTTG